CCCTGCCCTTAAGTTGCTGTCCTTTGTCCCTCCTCTGCTGCTGGTGAGAATTCTAGGTAACTTCCACCTGCTGACCCTGACTACCTTGAACAATTGCCAAAGGGTCACTACTCCACACATTCCACCCTTATGTGTGAGGAAAACCCACCATCTTGTCCCTACCCACCCTGCCCCCATTTTGCAAGGTAGCCCAGGTCAGGTTTCATCGGAATCAGCTGGGAGTGGGAGAAAACCCCAGCTACCTCTATCCAGCGCTACCAATGAGCCCAGTGCACCTCAGGCCCCAGCTCTGGAGGCTCCAAGTGGGTAGAGGACTGGGACCTATGAGGTCAGCAGAGCTACCAGGATTCTGGGCACAGGCTGCATGGCTCTGGCCAGGATGGGGAGAGGGTGCGGGGCTGCACTGGAGTGAGGGACAGCCTGGCAAAGACCTAAAAGGAGGAGGCCTGGGATGGGGATCAAGGAAAGGAAGAACAGCCGCTATGCCCAGGCCTGGATGGCCCCCTTGAGGCACAGGACATTTTGATGTGTGCACTTTCCCTGCTGGGAGCTCTCCATTTCTAGCTCAGGCAGGCGTGCCCTGAGTCTAGGCTCCGTGAGGGGCCCACTGGGTGCCATCTCACCAGACCACTGCAGGCGCAGCCATAGGGCTTGGAAGTAAAGGGTTCCTGCTGTGATTCCACGATCACCCATGGCGGGACTGGGTGAAGGGATCCATTCCCATGGAAAATCCAGGAAGGCAATGCTGAAAAAGCCAGGAACTTTAGGCTGAAGTCGAGTATTTTTTTGCTTCTTTGAGATGATCCATCCACAGGTAGGTCCCGAAGTGATCTAAGACTGGCGGCTGAACTTCTCTCTTCCATAAGACTGTGTAGGTTAGGGTTCCAAACCCCAGAAGTCTTCCTTTCTGGAGGTGGTGCCAGCCATTTTCCTTCTCTACACTCGGGGGAATTATCCCTTGCATTTTCTTTTGTCTCCATGAGCATCTTAAAAGGGTGGTGTGTGTGTGTGTGTGTGTGTGTGTGTGTGTGTGTGTGTGTGTGTTGGGGGGGTAACATATGACTGCATCATTCCAGGGTCATGTGGAGGTGGGAAATGCCAGGTTCTGAACCTAGACCCTCCCTTAAAGGGAAGGCAGGAGGAAAAAACACAGCCTTCTCACCGGGAGTGCCGAGGGGGCAGCCCAGGCCTGAGTCTGTACTGTAAAGGAGCGAGGGCAGGAGCTGAGAAGACCTTCTGTCCCCTCCTTTCTCCCTTCCCCACAGCAGAGGCTCAAGCCCAGCTGGTTGTACTGGGAGTTAGGAGCCCCACATTTTAGCCGCAGCTCTCCCACTGACCGGCTGTGTAACCTCAGACAAGTTGCTTCTTCTCTCTGGGCTTCATTTCCCCCAGCTCGTGAAATGGAAGTTCAAACACAAGCATTTCCAACATTCAGTCCAGCGTGCGTCCTGGCAATGCTCAGAGTCTCATAATAAAAACCACTCCTCAGTCAGCGCTAGGTACCTTACATTCAACTCCCAAATGGACTCTCTAAGGTGGTTATTATTGACCCATTTTACACAGAGGAAAACTGAGGTTCCAAGAGCTTAATTAAGTTCCCCCGGAGTCCCATCATGGCTGGCGGGGTCCAAAGCCTTTTCCACCCTAACCCATGTTCTGCCTTGGGCTGGCCCGAGTTCCTTGCCCCGGGCTCCGGAGTTCTGGAACCAAGTCCAAGGAAACCACTTTGGCCGGTGGAATCCTGTCAAAAGTAGCACCTGCTGGGCCTTGGTTCTGGGGAAGCTGGGAGAGTTGAAAGACCATGAAGAGATGCTGTGTGGAACTTCGTGGGTAGAAGAAATTCTTATTTTGCGTGCTTTGTGCTATCAGGAAAGTAAAGTCATTGCGCTGGGGATAGACGTGGGGGGTTTGCATTTCAGCTGGAAAGACAGGCAAACTACCAAGGCAGGGGCACAGAGAAGGGTTAGGACGTCGGGAGAGAGGGTACGGCCAGGCCAGGTATGGCAGAGCACCAGGGCCTTCTAGAGATGACCTGTCCTTTCCGCCACAGCTCACACTTCTCCCTCTGAAACAGACACCCTGCTCCCACTCTCTTCTCCCTGATGTGACATCTTGTCTGTCTCTCCTACCTGGGCAACAGGAGGATCAGAGCCTCTTGCTTGGGCTCTCTAGTGCCCAGCAGGGGACCTGCCCACACAGAGCAGGGGCTCAGCAAACACTTGGGGGAATTACTGGATCAAAGGAAGCCCCCCCCCCAAGTCCCACTGCCTTCTCCCACCCCCACCCCAAGGAAGAAGTGTGTTTGGAGTAGGGGCCCAGCAGGATATGCACATTCCTGGCAAGAAGGGACCTACCTGCTGGCAGCCAGAAAGGAAGTTTCTGGCCAAAGGCAGGGGAAAGGGGTGGGGGGTATCAGTGTCTAGGTTGGAGAAGGGCCCAACCTGCCCTACCCCTGGCATTCCCCAGCGTTGGTGTCAGGCCTTTCTCTCCCCAGGGCTCAGGGGTTCCCCAACTCCATAACTCCTGGGAAACCTGCCCAGGACTGGGAGAAGGATAGAAAACCCCACCCAGACACCCAATGGCTTAGTGCCAAGAGGGACGGTTCCCATGGTCTCCCCTAACTCAGGGCTAAGGTTGGGGACCAGGGTAAGGTAGTAGGCTGAGGGTCTGGGAGCAGAGTCCCATCCTACTGGGGTCCTGGGTATGTTTGGGGGACTGTGCCCCCACAGCACCCTCTCCTCCCCATGCTACCTTGCCTGGCTGACAAAAGTGGGAGCAACACCAGGTAGGGAGTGCTCCCCGACCCCCTTCCCGAGGCACATCCCCGCTTTAGAGAGGCTCAGATCTAAAGCAGCCAGAGCAAGCCAGCCATCCAGGTGCCTACAGCAGTCCCGGGCCCTTCCTCCAGCCTGCCAGGTGACAAAGAACCCCAGAACCCAGGCAAGACAAAGTTTCTCAAGTTTAAAACAAAACAAGCCTGCAGACCTCCCATTCCCTGAAGCAATTTTCTGCCTGTTTGTGTGGGGACTGTCTGAGGCAAGGGCTGTCTGAAGCAAGTGTGTCTCTCATTTGGGCAGCTGAGATGTGGCCATCCCTGCCTTTCCCGCCCCTGTGACCACCCGCTGGCTCACCAGGAGTCAGGGGCTTAAAATGCCTGCCGCTAGAATCGTTTAGTCCTGGTTTTCTGCTGAAAGTGAGTTTCTGGGTTCATGGGTTCAAATTCTCAGTGTCGAGTCTGGGTTACCCACTGCGCTTTCAGGTGGGACTGGTCAGACCCTCCCACTGCTACAGGCCTTTTAGCGGTCCTGTTGCACCTTCTTTCTGCGTGGGAGATGGGGGCACCCTGGCCAGTCTCTGGCTCCAACCCCTGCTGTCCTTCAAGCTTTACTCCCAGGGCCCTCAATCCCAGACCCAACACAGTTCGCCCTGGGACAATCCAGGCAGTGCTTGAAAAGGGGGATAAAGATGCTGTAAAAACCCGCATTGGCCAAAATGCTCCTGGGCTTTCTCAGGAACCGCAAGGATGACAGCTTCAGACTCGGGTTTGCTCTTTCATTCCCCCCATCTGAACCCCTGCTCCAGACTCCGCGGCCAATCTGCAGGGAGATCCGGTGTTGGGGTGCTAGAAACAAGGTGATCTCCAGACGCCTTAAACCCCAGGCGCGGAGGGAGCGAGGAAATCTGCCAGGCGGGGTTGACAAGAGAAGCTGGACTGCCAAGGTTTGAGCCGGGCGCTCTATAGGCTCAGGGTCTCCTTGTTCCCATATCATCTTCCCTACAACCTAGAGGGTCCGGGAGGGACGCGGCCGTGTTCACGAGGTCGCCCCAGTTGTAGGAAGGCATCCGCAGCCGTTAGGGCCTCTGTCTCAGAATCCGCGTCCCGCGAAATCACACGGTCCTTTGCCGGGGAGGCCGGGACTCCGGGTCGCTCAAGACGCCCCACATTCTAGAGCCACAGGCTTTGCCCGGGCTCAGCCCCAAGTTAGTCTGGCGTTGACGCGGAGCGCGGGGTCGGAGCGCCGCCGGGGTGACTCCGTGGGGGGCCGTCGGGAGGAGACACTGGGGTCGGCAGTCTGAGGGGCGTCCTGCTTGGTTACTCGGGAACCCTCTTCCCTGGGGGCCTCGGAACCCTGCTGCTGCCCACCCTTTCCCCCCCAACATGGTGAGGCGGTTGGGGGTGGGGGTGGCTCTCCCCAAATGCGGTGAATAAAGGTATCCGCCGGGTCCGTCCCCCGCCCTCCAGCACAGGCGCCGTTTCCAGACGCTCTTAAGTCCCCAAGAAGTTTTCCGCTCTATCTGCGAGCTGGCCGAGCCATGGGGGGACCGGGTTGACTGGCCCCGGAACCTCCAAGGCGCGAGCCCAGCAAAACAAGTCCCCTTCTCACCAGAGGCGACGCGGCGGGTGAGACCGCTGTTCCCCCCCCACCCCCAATCTGCCTCCGGCGCTTCTTGGGGAATCCTGGACAGACTGGGGTTGGGTTGGGGGAGCTCGCGCCACCACTTCCCTCCCCAGCTCAGGAAAGTCCGGGCCGGGAAGTACTCTTTGTTTGACTCGGGCGGGGGCCGGGTTGGGGGGGTCGCGCCCCCTTACACCCCACTCCCTGCCGCCAGGCCGGGAGGGGGCGGGGCCCAGATTCTGGGGGAAGGGCGGACCTCAGTGGCCTTTCCAACCCCCCCTCCCCGCCGACCTCCGGCTGCCCCCACCTCCCGCCGCCCCGCCGTAGCCCCCACCTGTTCCCAAGGCGGCTGTGGGCCGCTGGGGCCCAGGCCGGGGGCGGGGTGTGGTGGCGGCGCGGGGTCAGGGCGCCGCTGCCGGCCCCGGCTGGAACAAAGTGCGCCGGCCTGGGCCCGGCTCCTCCCGGCGCCCGGCGCGGCTCCGGCGGGCAGTTTGCAAACACAAAGTGAGCCAGCGAGCGGCCGAGAGAGTGCGCGAGATAGGGAGTTGGTCTGGTCGCCGGCCCAGCCCCCACCCGCGTCCCCGGGCTCGGCCCGCCACCTACCTGTCCAGCCCGGCCGTTCCGTGCGGGCTCCGGCCCGTCAGCCCGCGCGGGGCATGGGGCTCGCTCGGGTCGCAGCCCGGGCCCGCCGCCGCCCGCTGGGGCTGCCCCTCCGCGCCTCCCGGCGCCGCGCAGCTCCCGGGCGTCCTCCCTCCGCGCCGCGCTGCGCCGGCCGCCGCGCGCCCTAGCCCCGCTGGGGCATCGCACTTTGTGGGTAGCTCGGCTCGCTCCGGCGGCGGTGCTCCTCCTTCCCGGTGCTCCCGCGACGCTTGTTCGCTCGCTCCGGCTCCGGGGCTCCGGGACCCCGGCGTCCCCGCCCCCGGCCCAGCCCTGGTTCCGGCCCGGGCTCCTCCCCGCCGCGCGGCCGCCGCCTGCGCCGCGCCCTCCTCGCGGGCTGGGGGCTCCGTCCCGGCCGCCGGTCGCGCTGTCCGGTCCGCAGGGGCGGCCGGCTCCGGACTCCGAGGGGCTGCGACTGAGGCCGGAATGCGAGTGGCTGCGAGCGGGCGGCGCGCGGGCGGGGCGGGAGGGGGCGGGGGACGCGGGCTGGAAAGGGAAGGAGGGAGCGCGCGGAGAGAGCCGGGGAGGAGGGAGCGAGCGAGCGAGCGAGCGAGCGGTGGAGGGAGGGGAGACCAACTTCTAGCGCTACCATAATTCGCCTAAAGCAGGTGCAGCCGCTTTCACCGGGCCAGGCCGCCGCGGCGGGCGAGAGAAGACCACGTGGACCGAACTTTAGGGGAAGAAAAGTGGGGACTTGGGAAGAAGACACGGGGCTGCGGACCTGAGAAAGGGGAGGTGGAGAGACCCCAGGGATTCTCCCTGCCCTCGCGAATTCTGTGGCGCGCTCTGCAAACCCCAGCTTTTCCCCGGAGTCTGGAGGTACGGCCGAGCCCTGCTCCCACACGGTTCATTGGTTCCCGGCGGGCTGCGCTCGGCGCGGGGAGTGGCCGGGGGCCCTGATCCCGGAGCCGGTGTCGGGCCCGAGTCCTTCCTTGCTTCTCTCCTGATCCCCACTGCATGGGGGCTGGGGGTGAGCTTTCTGAATCGGGGGTGGGGGAGGTGGGGAGGCTTCTTCTGGGCGTTGTGAACCCTTACCCCGGGCGCGCGCTGACTCCCTTACCGGAAGGGGAATTTCCCAGAAAGTGCCCTGCGAACCGGTGAAGAAGGGGCCCAAAGCCGGATACACGCGGGCAAAGCGAAGTGCAAAGTCGAGGCAATTATCCGGACAAATCGGATTGCAAACAAAACTCAATGTCTTTGCCTGGGGGCTGGGAGGGATAGTGGTGGTGGTGGTGGCAGTGGCGTGGGTTGGGTTGGGGCGGAGGCGGGGCTGGGGGAGTCGGGATGGGGGAATGGGGATGGGGAAAGGCCCGAGTTCCAAGGCGGAGGGGTATGTTGGTAGCAGACGCCCGTGGAAAACTGAATAAAACCTCCACTTCCAAAACGTCTGTCTGTCTCCGTGTGTTACAGGTGGGGAGAAGTGAAAGACACCCCCTGCCCCAGATCTTCAAGGAATACCCTGAGGGCCCTGCTGTGGGAGGAGGGCAGGAAGGCAGTGGCTCCTGAAAGCTTTTCTGGCCAGAGCACCTGAGGCAGGAGGAGAAGCGGCAGACACGTTGGTGCCCCCGTGGAGTGTGAGCTGGGGGTGCTTAGCGTGAGTCAGGCCTGTTGCCTGGAGAGAGAAGGATCTCTTGGAAGAGGTCTTTCCAATAGGATTTGGAAGGACAGGAACCTAGGAGAGGAGGCTCCCTTTTGGGTCAGTTTTCATCAATTATTCCATCCCTTTTCTGCGGGTACAAATAGTCAAAAGTAGTTGTACGGTTAGTGATACCCCATCCAGGCCTGGATCCTCTGTTTTTGCCCTACTAGGTGGGTATGGCAGACAAAATTAGATCCTTCTGGAACCCTTCAGGTATCTAGGTGGGAAATTGTAAGGAGGAGTCTAAGTGGCATTTATGTGACTCTCCACAGTGTCCCTCCCAGGATAGTAATAGCAGTAGCAGTAAGAAATAACAAAGCTAAGGTTCAGGCCAGGCAGATGCCGTACTTCATCTTCACAAGAACCTGATGAGGTGGAGAGTACCAGTATGTCCATTTCACAGAAAAGAAAGCTGAGGCACACGAAGATTGAGCCATTTGCCCGGGCTTACAGAGCTGGTAAGTGGTGAAGCAGGATTCTGACCAGAGCCACTTCAGTGAGGAGGGGGAAGAACATCATGAAAGTTTTCTAAAGCAGCTCCGCTAGTAGCTTACCGGAGGAGGAGCGCGGTTTGGGAGAAAGGAGGCCCTTGGCCACGTGATCCAGTTTAGCTTCCATGGAGAGTCAGCTCTGATGGGAGTCGGGCGGGGTGGACAGGTCCGGGCCTGGCCTGGAGCTGGCTGGTCCTTGTGTCCGTCCAACCGGGCCGTGGCCATGCCCCTCAGGCCTCCTGCCCATCCTTCCTGCAGAGGCTCAGGGTGGACTTTTAGTACAAAAGAAGGGATTTTTGCAGAGGGGAGGTGGAACAAGCTCGTCCATCTCTTTTCTGTCTGACTCTCAGCAGCGCCCCCCCCCCTCCTTTCCCTGTCACCTTCCTGCAGCAGCCCTCTGCACCTCCCACAGGGGCTCTCTTGCCCAAAGGGGGTTCCCTGGGAAATGCTTTGGCTTTCATTTCAGGTTACAGGTCATCTTCAAGCCAGCTCAGTTTCCAGCACCCTGTGAGTCACAGTAGGGGGGTATAAGAGAGGCAAAAGACCCTGTCTTATCCTCACCTAAAAATCGCATTTTGGTGAGGAAAACAAGGCCTCACCAAAGAAAGGTACCGAACAAACACCCCAAAATCAACTCAGCCCCTCCGAAGATCTTCCTTCTGGTACAAGGGCTTTGTGAGAAGGTTTAAGAGTGGCCCTTGGCTCCCAAGGTGGAGGTGACCCGGAATTGGCAGGAGGATCCCCTTCAAAGGGGCCGGGGTATTAACTATGGGGAGAATGAAAGCCCATGGCCTAGCCCTGCTGGGAAGGCCATTGTCACAGGGGCTGGCATGAGGCAGCCCTGGGTTGAGCTTTAGCCTCTGACCTTTACCAGCAGTGTGATCTGGGCAAGTTACATGCTGTCTGAGCCTGACTTTCCTCCTCCACAACACTGGGAGAATGGCTCCTTAGGTGGCTGGCAGGAAAAAGCACTGACAAATCATCTAGTTTTCCAGACATGCTCCCATTCCCTTTTGTAAACCCTGGTTTCCTCACCTAAAAATGAGGAAAACTGACCTCACAAAAATGCAGACCCTACACACAAATGCAGCCGATACTTATTCAGCTTGCTCTGCTCCAGGCACTTGACTCTCATGGGTCTTTGAGCTTTATCGCCCTAGACATGGTCGCTCTTCTCATTTTGTGATGGGGAACCTGATGCTCAGAGAGGTCAGGCAACTTGCTCCAGGTCACACAGCTAGGAGGTGGTGTATCCAGGAAGCGCTCCCAGGTCTTCCTGCTCTGTAGGCCCCTCGCCAGGGTCAGCTGCTGCCCTGTGGTGGGGTAAAGTGAGCTACTGGGTGAGCTTATTCCTCCTTCCAGGTCTGACACTCGGGAGGTATGGGGGGGGGGGTCTAAAAACATTAGTCTCCTCAATCCCATACATCTAGGCTCAGATGGTTTATATTTCCATTCATCTGATGGTTTGACTCTTACTTTTTTTGTCCTCCTCTTTCCTCCTTTGTTTTGGCCTTATTAAGGAATAGAACTTTCCAGCATAACACAGCAGCTCCAGTCCTAAAACTCAGACATATGTGTGTTCACCAGAAGACATACACTGGAATGTTCTCCACAGCACCATGCAGAATAGCCATGAGCAGTGCAATAAGGGAACAAATCATGGTCTTCGTGTACAAGAACTAGTACTTGGCAATGAGAATGGACCAACCGTTGCCATGCACAGCAACATGGAGACATCTCACACATGCAATGTTGAGCATAAACTCACGACACGAGAAAGCACCCAGTAAGATTCCATTTCTCTGAAATTCAAAAACTGATTCCAGGGGCACCTGGAACCTGGGTGGCTCAGTGAGTTAAGCCTCTGCTCAGCTCAGGTCATGATCTCAGGGTCTTGGGATCGAGCCCTGCATCAGGCTCTCTCTTCAGCGGGGACCCTGCTTCCCCCCACCCTGCCCCTGCCTGCCTACTTTTGATCTCTCTCTCTGTCAAATAAAAAATTAAATCTTAAAAAATAAAAACAAAAACAAAAACAAAACAAAACAAAAAACTGGTTCTAGCATTGGACCTTAGGGGGCATGACTGAAAGAGAGTAAGAGGAGGCTCCTGGGGGGTCTGGGAATGTTCTGAGTTTTGAATTTGGGAGTTGGTTGCAAGAGTGTGTTCCCTTTGTGAAATTAATTGAGCTGCTGTATAAGCATCAACATTGTTGCTGATACGGTTGAGGACCTCTCCCTATTCCTTCCACTTTCTCCAACATCCCCATGCCAGAGGCAGTCAGTTTCTTGCAGCTGGTAGGTAGTCCTCCAAGTAAGTTCTCACTTGGGTGTCTTGAAATTTTAAATAGAAGGTATCTTTCTGCTTCTTGCTTTTACTTTTTGTTCTTGGTGTTTATTTCATGCTGGGGAGATTAATTTAGGCTTGCTACATGTATCTCTAGGTCAATCATTGAAAAGCCTGGTGGAGAGCATTGTACTGCATCAGAGTGCCCTCGTTTCTTTGCCCAGCCTCCCTGTGATGGACAGTTGGGTTGTTTCTGAACTTTGGCTATTGTGGTCACACTGTAGTGGGCTTCCTTCTATGTGCACCTTCCCACCCCTCCCACCCCAGGTCTCTGTTTCTCTCTCCTCCTTTGCCTCCTGCTCAATCAAGTTGTCCCCCTTCCCCCCTGTGATTCTTCCACTCTGGAATCTTCTCCCCTCCCCATTTCCCAAATGCTCTTCCCCACCCTGCTTCCCAGTCTTTCAGACTCTGACAGACCCCTGGGTGGGGTGGGGGGGCTGTGTTGGGTGGAGGTGGTAGAGGGATTGTAAGGGGGCAGCCTTTTCCTTGGCCACAAAGGCCCCTGTTCCCCAAGATAAATGATGATTTAAACAAAGAAATACTTCATTAAGGGTTGATATCTTAATGAACTGTGCCAGGAACCCTCAAGACACTCTCTAGATGCCCCCCTTTTAAGGGGGGCTCTTAGCCCTGGGGGAAGCTTATCAGGTTACCATATTGCCCCGAGAGGAGGACCATGCACTGTGGGGAGCTGTGTGTGTGTGTGGGGGGGAGCTATGGGGCAGAAGGCTCTCTCAGGACTGGGGGTGGGGCTCAGTTGCCCTGCTTGGTGCCATGTTGGC